CTGTCAATTTTATCAAGTTACTTAAATTCACTGGTAAATGTGAATAATACCTAATTCATACGGTTGTAATGAGAAATAAATGAAGTTTCGTTAGCATGAAATAGAGACTGAATAATGGCTAGCTATTAAAATAAAACAGAATATAACCATGACCACTATCTTTTACTGAGCATATTCTATATCCTGTCTTATGTGATTTGCATATATTACTTCTTATAAACCTGATAAAATTGATTCATATACTGGGACTCACAAAAGGGGACCCAGTGGCCTGACATTGACACCTATGCCAGCCTGCACTTAAGGGGAATTCCTGTCATGGAATCCAAACATACTCCAAGCACAATTCTCCCAATCAGCTTTAGTTAGCTTACCTTACCCTAAAACAAAGGACCTTGCAAGCCTCTTAAGGAAATCCCCTACCTCCTTGCTGATCATGACCTGGTTTCCATGGTCCTCCTTCTTCCTAGAAAACTCATTCTTGCCCAATATCCCTCAGAGACAGTGACCCACTGCTTGTGAGGACTCCCAATCCATGGAGTGTCTTCCTTGAATAAAGGGCATCAAGCCCGTTACTCAATTGTATCATTTTTGTCATTTGACAAACTGAAACAAATGCAGGTATGTACAATTACCCCATGTTATAGATGAGAGAACTCAGTCTCTGAGAAGATAAGCACCAAGTCTAAGATCTATTACCGAGCACGTGGTGGAACCAGGATTTGAGCTAAAGTATGGATGATCCAAAGCACACGGTCTCCATTCTGACATCCCCAAACAATAGTTCAAATCTGGAGGCAGAGTGGGTGCTCAGTAAGTAGTTGTTGAATTACTTAATCCACTAATAACCTACTTTTAAGTGGCATTAAAATAATTCTTAATGATAGTGAAAGAGGTGAACAAGGTTCCACCTTATGCACTCAGTAATGCTTAGACATAGATGTAGAAGTTAGTGGTTTACACACATTTTTAAAATAGAAGTAAAATATGTATCCAAAACAAAGGAGGGTATTGGGCGGTAAAAATCACAAGATTTCCACTGCAGTCCCCCATAATCTCCCTCTGTCCCTCGCTTTCCCTCTCCTCTACCTCTCCCCACCCCCACACACCCCAGATCCCCTAGCTGAGAGCTACAGAGTGCACAAACAGTGCTTTGCATTTTATGTTAATCTCCCATCAATGCTGTTCCTTGTATCCCACACCTTGCTAGCCTTTTCTGTAAAATGTTTTTCCTCATTTCAAGTAAAACCCCAAACAATATAGACATTAATGATTAAAGTATTTTTTTTTAAATAGAAGTGCACAATTTATACCTTAAGGACCATCACCTGAGCTTTGATAGGAAATTAATTTAATTAACACAAATCTTACTTCCACAACCCAGTGAACTTCAGTGATATATCTGTCTGAGATGCAATATCGGGTCGAGTCAGGCTACATGCTCACTTAGAGTTCTCTAGTGCTATGAGACAAATATTGTTCCAGTTACACAGTGACATTTCAATGATTTTCAAATACTTATCCTGAAGTTCTAAAAATACCATATGCTAAGATGTGCCTTTCCTGCAAGACATGCCATCAACGGGTGAATTTTAACGTATTTTTCCTCTATGAAGTGCAGGTAAAAAAAAAAGAAGGAAAGAAAGAAAGAAGGAAAGAAAGAAGGAAAGAAAGAAAGAAAGAAAGAAAGAAAGAAAGAAAGAAAGAAAGAAGGAGATATTTATTTTTTTAAGAACATTTATAATCATGTTGACTTACCACAGTTTGCTTCTATAAAAATACTATATAGTTTTGTGGGACATTTATAATAAGGTAGCAATGAAAAATGTTCTTAAGTTTCATTACATAGCAGAAATATAGTAGAGTAATAATAGAAATAATAGAAATAATACATAATCTCATATAAAGTAATAATCGTTTGAGGAAAAAGTTATAAAGCTATAAAAAATTTTAGGGGCTGCTATCAAGTATTTCAAAATTCCTAAACCATATTTTGCATTATATAATTAATGGTAAAAGTGTTTTGTTGATATTTTTTGCTTTAAACTTTGTAAGAGATGGAACATGATTATACATGTTCCCTAAATAAATCGGAGTATTACTGAGCATAACTGAACATCATTTATTTAAATATAAATGTAAAACTCATTTTTAAGACAGAACTCTGAATCAGTAAAATTGTTATTGGTTCCAGAGTATTCAAATGCATGCACTCCACCCCCGAATTGTGGGTATAGTCTTTCAAGTGTAAGCAGTTCTGTTAGTGTATCACACTTGGCCTCTCTTTGCTTCTTTACTCACTTCATCCCATGAAAAGAGGAGGAACTTAATTGGTTGAGTTTGGAAGGACATGTTGGTATGTCCAGGGCAGCCCCTTTCTCTTTAAGGCTCAACTGCCTTTGGGCAACACCTGATCTGCTCTGGTCCTTGAGCTTGAAATGCTAACTTGGTGAGCTCTGCCTTGCCTCATTATAGATCTGTTTGTGACTGAGGGATAGCTTTGCCTAAATTTGGAGCTCACAAAAGGGAAGCTCACTTGCTGTAGATATATGTCAGACCCTCTGTTATCAGTTTCATCAGAAAGAAAGGTGATATGCTGGTCCCCTATCTGCTTTATTCTTACTTCCTTATGAGTTGGACCAGCACTGGGGTGGAGAAAAGGAGTGTTTTAGTTGAGCTCTTTCAAACCCCAAATGAGTAAGTGTATTTTGCTCCTTTTATCAATTTTCAGTCTTCCAAGACAGGGATTTCTCCCTTTCTGCAAACATAACAGATCTAAGACAAAGGTTGATGAGTTAAATTTTAAAAAACCATTAAGCATAATTCTCATTTTCAAAGCAAGTCAATTAAATTGCTCTCTCTGAAGAAAAAAAAGTACTCACATACTTCTTTTTAGTTTTGTATTTCTATCCATCTACACATACATGGGAGTGTACCTAATATACACATATACATTTAATACAGGAATAATGATTTCATGCAAATAATCCTTACTGCGGCATAATAAATATATATATATGTGTGTGTGTGTGTGTGTGTGTGTGTATATATATATATATTTGATCTTTATCTCCTATTCCTGGCAAACAACCCTATAACTCTTGGAATCTCTGAGATGGTGAGTATCTTTCATACACTAAAGAATGACTGGTGGCTGGGGAGGTCCCTAAATAGCTTCAGTGGTGAAAGACCTAGGCAAAATTAGACAGTTGGAACTTTCACAAGCCCCCCCAACCTTCTGGGAGAGGAGAGGAGCTGGAGACTGAGTTAATCACCAATGGTCAATGATGTGGTCAATCATGTTTACATAGTGAAACCTTGATAAAAATGCCTGAACAGCAGGCTTTGGAGACCTTCTGAGCTGGTAAACATACTGAGGTCCTGGGAGCCTGGCACACACAGAGAGAGCATGGCAGCTCCATATCCTTCCCCCCCATGCCTTGCCCTACCTGTCCTTTCCATTATGCTGTTGCTGAGTGTATCCTTTGTAACGAAGTAAGTAAAGTGTTTCCCTGGGCGCTGTGAGCTGTTCCAACAAATAATCAAATTTGAAAAGGGGGATGTGGAGGAGCCCGCAACTTTATAGCCAAGTCAGACAGAAAAGTTCGGGAACCCTGGGCACCTGGTATTTGTGACTGGCGTCTGGGGTAAGGGCAGTCTTGTGGGAATGAGCTCATATACCTGTGGCATCTGACACTAACTCTGAGCAATGTCAGAGCTGAATGAGATGATAGGACCCCCAGCTGGTGTCCAGAAAGTTGTAGAACTGGTTCTTGGTATGGAGAAAACTCACACATGTGGTGTCACAAGTGCTGTGAGCAAATACAGTTCATACTTACCTTCTGAATTCCTATAACACCAAAAACAAACAAACAAAAACCACTAAAGACAAAAACTGCGCACAATGACTCCCACATTTCCTTTCCTCTCACTTATCAGGTATTAACGTACTCTAATATCCAAGTAACTTTAACTGTAAGACTGTTCTTTCCTTATGTATGTAAAAATATGCCTCACTATTTAGTCATGCAAACACACAGGAAAACAGATGTGTATTTGCAAATATTTTAAATGATGGAAGTGGGGGTAGGGGCACCACACCGGAATAGTTCTCCCTTCATGTTGTCATTTCAAGAGACATTATATATTTAAAACACTCCCATGCATGTTTTAAAAGAGCTGGAGTAAAAGAGTTCATTCTTACAAAGACATGATCGTTGAAATGTCAAATAGCCTGTTCTCATAAAGAATTTACTACATAGGACATCCCTGCAATGACGATTGTTTTTTCTCTGGTCACCAAAGTATCTAATTCTACTCCTATTTAAATAAATGAAACAATATCGACATGTTTTCAGTGTCAATTTTTGTCACTTTGCATGAATCGCAAGGAATTTCTTCATAAGTATAAATAGAAAGTAAAAGGAAAGCAACATAGAGTCTTAGAATGCTTTAAAGATCATCGGAAAGCCTCTCTGTGCCTTAAAACAAATTATCATACTGTTGTTTACAGTAAGATACAGATACACATTTGTTTGTGACAGTCCACTCTAGTAACCACTAAACCTGATTCTTAATATTGCACATGAAATTCACTTCTAAGTTTTGAGCTACTGCACTTTAGATAAAACCGAGAGATACACTTTCAATCACATCATTTTGAGTTCACTTATTGCTATCGACTCATTTTCTTCCCCAGTAAAACAAGGTGGTGTGACTCTTCATACTCTAGTAAACTATTTTCCTTCCTCATCCTATTTGCATAGGAATATGAACTTCTGGTTCCTGTCAAATGAGTCTTTATTACCAAGATGAGAATGTAAATTCATGTAATGTCTCTGTGATTTTGGAATAGGCACCAAATACTGACTGCTAATGGTTATGAATATTTATCAGTTGCTGTTATTAAAAAGACGGTTTTTTTTTCCTCCCAGAGTTTTTGAGTACACAATTTCAAAATGTTACTCCATCTGTCAATGTTTTCTGAAAACAGTACCAACCTTCTTTTTTATCTTCTGGAGTAATCTTCACTTTTGTATCTGTTATATCTTTGAATGAAGCCAGAAAAAGTACCACATCTCCTTTCTCATTCTTTATAGGAACAATATCCAATAGGCACCAAAATGGAGACCCTGAAATGGTAATAAAAACACAAATCAACCACTGCCTCATGGTTTTTCTATGAAAATCTCAATCATTAGTGGCGCAGTTAATAAAGTCCTTACTGTTTCCTTCTATCCCACACCTCCCCTCCAAAATCTTAAAAATGTCAGTTTTCAGATTCCATAAATGTCTGGCCCATATGCATATCTCTCCATTCCCAAATGAAATGCTTTCTTTGAAAATAAGGCTGTATTTTAAACAAAAACACTTGTCTGTGCTGAGATATTTCTGCTTATGTAATTTAAACTGTATTTCTTTTTTGAACTTGTTGATGTTGAAGCATTCCACTTTATGAAACATTGCCCCTACCCACCCCCAGCGTGCACGAGTTGCTAAATAAAGACCTTTGTTTCACACAAATTTGCTGGAGGTTTATTTAGTCAATTTAAAAATCAATGATTGGCCACCAGAATGGCTAAAGTAAAAAAAAGATGGAAAATACCAAGTTTTGGGGAAAATGCATACTCACTTGAACTCTCATACATTAGTGGCTGGTTGCAAATTAGTACATATATACCTTAAAAACTGTCCAGCAGTATTAAGATAAATTCCCACAATAAACATGAGGCAGCACTGTGAATGAACATTATACAATAACTGGCATCAGAGGGATGAATGTCACTGACATAATATTGAGCAAAAGTAGCCAGTCACAAATGAGGAGAATGCATTTACATTAAGTACGAAATAGACAAAACTCACCTACAGTGTTAAAAGTCCCGTTGACGGTTTGGGAGATTGTGATTCAAAGGGGACACAGGTTGGGGAGTTCTGGGATCCTGGTCAAGTTTTGCTTTATGACCTTTATGTTAATTACACAGGAGTGTTCAAGTTTTGAAAACCCACCAAACTCTACACTTATGCAAGTCTCTTTTTCCGTATATATGTTTTACTTCAAGAACATATTTTTTAAAGATTTCATTAATTTGCTTGTCAGAGAGACAAAGAAAGCACAAGCAGGGGGAGTGGCAGGCAGAGGGAGAAGCAGGCTCCTCCCTAAGCAAGGAGCCCGATGCGGGACTCCATCCCAGGACCTCGGGATCATGACCTGGGCTGAAGGCAGATACCACCCAGGAGTCCCTCAGTAACATATTTTCGAAAGGGATAATCAAGTTCAATTCTATGTTTTGAGCAAAAGATCCCTGAAAATACCATTAGTAGCTTCAGATTCAAACCTAAGGCTCATATTTTGAAATGTATTTATATATCTTAAAATATGCATTTTAAGAATATATAAAAATCCTTATACTAGATTTCCTACTAAAAAGCATTCCTGGGCAAAAAAGAAAAAAAAAAAAGAAAATGGAAAAAAGTTATTGCTTAAAAACAAAACTATTAATCTTTTAATTTTTTTTTTTTAATTTGACAGACAGAGATCACAAGCAGGCAGAGAGGCAGGCAGAGGAAGAGGGAAGCAGACTCCCTGCTGAGCAGAGAGCCCGATACAGGGCTCGATCCCAGGACCCTGAGATCATGACCTGAGCCAAAGGCACTGAGCCACCACTGAGCCACCCAGGCACCCCTCAAAACTATTAATCTATTTACATATGTTTTTCCTTCATTTTTCTTCTGATGGAGGGAAAAACCCTTAATAGTGTGAATTTCCACCTTATTTGGGTGATGATTTCAAATTTGGGTACAAGACAAAAGTAACAGCCAAAAATACCCTTGATGGGCACCTGGGTGGCTCAGTCATTAAGCGGCTGCCTTCGGCACAGGTAGTGATCCCAGGTTCCTGGGATTGAGCCCCACATCAGGCTCCCTGCTAGGTGGAAAGCCTCCTTCTCCCTCTCCTGCTCCCCCTGCTTATGTTCCTGTTCTCGCTGTCTCTCTCTGTCAAATAAATAAAAAAAATCTTAAAAAAAAAAAAAAAAGGAAATGCCCTTGATACTTCTTGATACTTTAAGTTGTTTTGTATATACTGTATTAGATCTCACAATTTCCCAAACAACAGATGTACCCATCCAACCTTGGAATCTATCAAGAGTTTTTTTCTTACTTAAGCACACGATGAAGGAGTTGATATAGGGGTCATCTGACATAAAAATCACATTTTATTAGAGTTGCTGTTGTACTTTTTGAAAAGTGTGTTTGAATACACAGATAATAAGCATATGTAGTGCGGATGGAGTACGTACCCGATCTGGGCATCCTCCTAACAGCTTGAGCACCATGAATTCTTCCATGTTCTCTTGACTGAAATCTATGGCTTCCTTTCATTCATATTCTTAAATATCCGTGCCACAGCAATGCCATTTCAATCTCCCATCACCAGGCTCTGGGAGACCTGAGATCTAACCATAGCTCCCACATTAACTAGCCCAGGACCATGGAGGACTCAGATTAACTTCTCTTCTCCAATTAACTTGGTTCCCTCAATTGCAATACTCTCATATCCATCAGTCCACTGGTAGAAAGAGCAACTCAAAAACCATGAGGCAATAAATCAACTCTATTGTCTATGACTAATGGGGAAACCTTATAAATGAGCCATATCCCTGGCCAAACACTACTATCCTCATCATCCCAGAATGGCCCTTAATTCTAACTTTTTCTATAGCCACTGTTTTGAGGTGGGAGCTGTTTTCACTAATGCTGTGCTACAGCAGGAACAAAAAGACCCATTAGGGCAAGCTATCAATCAGACCCTAGACATAGTAACAGTGGGGACGTGGAAAACAGTATGAATCTGATATTTTGGATCACATTTTAAAGCATCTCTCTGTCAATTATCTTGCAAAAACATCACCCAAATCAGAACAGAGGCTGTTAATTTTCTTGAAAATCCATTTTATCTGAGCACTCAGTCAAGCATCATTATTGTCTCCACAGAGCCTTTGAACAGGGGCACCAAAGTATTTTAGAGAGAGGCAAAAGTGTGTCAGGTGAGAGAGAGCCAAGAGAGTGCTGCCCACCAGACAGTATCTCAAATCACACAGCATTCCTTTCACATCATGTTCCAGGAAGTTGAAACATCACTTTAAGATTTGTCTTTTAAGTTACAATGAGGTGTAACCTTGGACATTTTGTAAATTCAGTTCATTAACATGGGTCCCTATAATTTCAAATTTTGTAATGATTTGGCATGCATTAGGCTGATGTCTCCCTTTCTATTGCACATATGACAAAAAACTGTATAGAGGCACACCTCGGATATACTGTGGGTTTGGTTCCAGACCACCCCAATGAAGTAAATATCACAATAAAGTGAGCTAAAGAATTTTTTAAAAATATTTATTTATTTATCTATTTATTTTAGAGAGAAAGAGAAACAGTAAGGGGAGGAGGAGAGAGAGAGAGCACGAGCTCCTGAAGCAGACTCCCCAACCGAGCTCAGAGCCTGAAGCAGGGCTTGTTCCCAGGACGCTGAGATGGAAACCTGAGCAGAAACCAAGAATTGGCCGCCCAACCAACTGAGCCACCCAAGTGCCCTGGGTTAAATGACAATTTTTGGTTTCCAGTGCATATAAAAGTTATGTTTACACTATACAGTAGTCTGTTAAGTGTGCAGTAGCATTGTGTCTAAAAAGACAATGTACATGCCTTAATTAAAAATATTTATTTCCCTAAGAAAAGTGCTAACCATCATCTGAGGTCTCAATGAGTTGTCATCTTTTTTGCTAGTGGAAAGTCTTGCCTTGATGTTGATGGCTGCTGAGTGATCAAAGGAGGTTGGTCGCTGAAAGCTGGGGTGGCAGTGGCAATTTCTTAATATAAGACAACAATGAGATTTGCCACATCAATTGACTCTTCCTTTCTTGAGTGATTTCTCTGTAGCATGCGGTGCTGTTTGATAGCATTTTACCCATAGTAGAGTCTTTCAAAATTGGTGTCAATCCTCTCAAACCCTCCTGCTGTTTTATCAACTAAGTTTATGTAATACTCTAAATCCTTTGTTGTTATTTCAACAATCTTCAAAGCATCTTCACCAGGAGAAGTTTCCATCTCAAGAACCACTTTCTTTGCTCATCCTCAAGAATCATCTCTTTATCCATTAAGGTTTTATCATGAGATTGCAACAGTTCAGTCCTATCTTCAGGCTCCATTTCCAAGTCTAGTTCTCTTGCTATTTCCACCATATCCGCAGTGACTTTCTCCACTAAAGTCTTGAAACCTTCCCAGTTGTCCATGAGGGTTGGAATCAGCTTCTTCCAAACTCCTGTTAACGTTGATATTTTGACCTTCCCTCTTAATGGCATTTAGAATGGTGAATTCTTTCCAGGTTTCAAAGTACTTTTCCCAGATGCATCAGAGGAATCACTCACTATCTATGACAGCTACAACCTTACAAAATGTGTTTCTTTTTTTTTTTTCCCCAAAGATTTACTTATTTTAGCCAAATGCAGAGCCTGACACAGGACTCTATCTCAGGATCCTGCAATCACGACCTGAGCAGAAATCAAGAGTTGAAGACTTAACCAACCGAGGGAGCCAGGTACCCCCAAATTGTGTTTTTTTTTTTTTATAATTTTATTTTATTTATTTGACAGACCAAGATCACAAATAGGCAGAGTCAGGCAGAGAGAGAGAGAGAGAGAGAGAGAGAGGGAGGAGGAAGCAGGCTCCCCGCAGAGCAGAGAGCCCGATGCGGGGCTCGATCCCAGGACCCTGAGATCATGACCTGAGCCAAAGGCAGAGGCTTTAACCCACTGAGCCACCCAGGCACCCCCCAAATTGTGTTTCTTAAATAAGAAGACCTGAAAGTCAAAATTACTCTTTGAGGGGAACCTCTGTCAAATAAATAAGTAAATATTTTTTTAAAGGATTTTATTTATTTATTTGACAGAGAGAGATCACAAGTAGGCAGAGAGGCAGGCAGAGAGAGGAAGGGAAGCAGGCTCCCCACTGAGCAGAGAGCCCAATGTGGGGCTCACTCCCAGGACCCTGAGATCATGACCTGAGCTGAAGGCAGAGGCTTTAACCCACTGAGCCACCCAGGCACCCCTAAATAAATAAATCTTAAAAAAAA